CGATCTTGACTCAATACAACCTCTGCCTCCCAGGTTCAGGTGATTCTTCTGCCTCAGCCTCCTGAGTAGCTGGGATTACAGGTGCCCACCACCATGCCCAGCTAATTTTTGTGTTTTTAGTAGAGACAGGGCTTTTGCCATGTTGGCCAGGCTGGTCTTGAATTCCTGGCCTCAAGTGATTTGCCTGCCTCAGCCTCCCAAAGTGCTGGGATTACAGACGTGAGCCCCCGTGCCCACTGCCAATACTTTTGAGGACATTTTGTATCAGTGTTTTACTTACTTTCTATGTATTTACTCATTTAATTATTGTCAGGTTTGCCAGTCTCTAGCTTTTGGGATTTTGTGATCTGTGCAGGCACAGCAAAGGAGAGAATTTATCAATTGTTTTGGTGTTAAAAACTGGTAGCTACCTGTATAAGCAACATAACAAAAGTCAAAAATAAGTCCCAAATTTTACTTATAGATATACCAAATATATGCCTGCATAGGGGTTTGTGGAGGGGCAGTATACTTTACATAAAAGTAAAGACTAGTGATTGTTCTTCATGGAAATGGCTCATAAAATTTATAATTGGAAGTGCTGAAATCGCAGTCTTGCTCTTTCATTTGTTACAGGTTAAAGGAGATGAAAATACGAAACTTAATGCGTTCGAGAGGAGATGGGCCCTGGTATCACTTTGACACAGTTGATAAGGAACTTATTGATCATTCTACAAAAGCAACTCCTGACAATTAAGCATTTTTTTCTCTAAATACAAAGTATATTCTCTTTATTGGAAAATAAGTTAGTAAATATATTCTGTATTTTTGTTCTCCATGAAAAATAAAAGAGCTTCTGACATTACCGTTTCCCAGTGTTGGTTCAGATTAAAGCTTTTGTTTGGGGGTTTGGCTTCCAGTCCCTGAAGAAGGTTTAAAATGTGCTAATAAAAACTGGAGAGCTAGGAGTTTGTGAACTCCTAAAGCTGCAGCAACTTTGAAAGGGAGTGTTTCGTTTACCTGACAAATGGAAGTTATAGAAGTCTAATTATGTTAAGCACCAGTCATTACATTATTTTGTACAACTGTCTGTACTGTAGACGTCTATATTGAAGGGCAACTTCGGATTTTAAGTTCTATAAAGTACTGAACCAACCCTGTAAAATGTTAACTCCTTAATAAACAGATTTTCAGTAGACGAATTTTAAAGTTTATAATGCTTTCATGTCATTTTTAGCCATATATTCTTTTTAAAACTACACATATATATACACAGACATGTACATACACACACACACGCACACACACACACACACACGCACGCTCTTTTCCTAGATGCAATCTTGGGAATCCCTTAGAGTTTTTGTACACATATTACCTAGTCCACTAGCTAATATGTGTACAAAAAAGAACTCTAAGGGATTCCTGCAGAGATTATAAAATGTGAGTAGAAGCTAAAAATGACTATCATTTATTAGGCATTTACTATCTGTTAAACACTATATTAAATAACCGCATTTTCTGCCAGGTGCGTTGGCTCACGCTTGTAATCTCAGCACTTTGAGAGGCCGAGGCAGGTGGATTGCCTGAGCCCATCTCTACTAAAATACAAAAATCCAGGTGTGGTGGCATGTGCCTGTAGTCCCAGTTACTTGGGAGGCTGAGGCAGGAGAATTGCTTGAACCTGGGAGGCGGAGGTTGCAGTGAGCTGAGATCATGCCAGTACACTCCAGCCTGGGTGATAGACTCCATCTCAAAAAAAAAAAAAGTAAAAAAAACTGCCTTTTTTTAAACATTCTTTTCTTTCTTTTTTTTGTTTGATAGAGTCTTGCTCTGTTGCCCAGGGTGGAGTGCAGTGGTGTGATCTCAGCTCACTGCAACCTCCACCTTCTGGGTTCAAGCGGTTCTCCTGCCTCAGCCTCCCGAGTAGGTGGGATTACAAGCACTCGCCACCGACCCAGCTAATTTTTGTAGTTTTCAGTAGAGACAGGGTTTTGCTCTGTTGGCCAGGCTAGTGTTGAACTCCTGACCTCAAGTGATCTGCCTGTCTTGGCCTCTCAAAGTGCTGGGATTACAGGCATGAGCCACCATGCCCAGCCAACATTATTTTCAAAATGAGTTATAAGGTATTATGTTACTCTCTGAGTATTTCACATTAGAAACCTGAGGCAGATTTTAAACACAAACTCAATATTTACAAAAATACGCATTTAAAACATTGATACTTCAACTTCCAAAATGGCCTTTTAGCTTAAGCCTTCAGGATTTTCAAACCTGTAACAGCTTATCAATGCATCTCATCTTAGAAATATGTTTTACATTCTTTCTGAAAGTAAAAATGAATCCAGGTTTCCTAAGATTCAGCCAGTGGGTCTCCATTTAAGGCCAAATGGAGAAATTATTTTTTGCTGCCTAAACAGACAAATGAAAAGCCATAGGCCATTCATTCAACAAATACTTTTATTATTTTTATTGATAAGGACTTGTAAATGTAATATGTTATGTTGATATATGTATGCAATGTATAATGCCCAATCAGAGTATTTAGGAAATCCATCACCTCAAACCTCTTCCTTGTGTTAGGACATTTATTTTGAAATAAACTATAAGTTATTGTTAACTTTACCTGCTGTACTATCAAATACTAGAACTGATTCTTGTATCTAACTGTATTTTTGTATCCATTAACCAACTCTTCTAAATTTCCTACTCTTCCCTTCTCTACCCAGCCTCTGGGAACACCTTTCTACTCTTTGCCTCCACGAGATCCATTTTTTTTTTTAGCTCCCACATATGTGTGAGAACATTCCATATTTGTCTTTCTGTGCTTGGCCTATTTCACCTAACATAATGACCTGCAGTTCCACCCATGTTGCTACAAATGATAGAATTCTGTTCTTTTTCTTAGTATTGTTCATACGTATCACCTTTTCAACACCCGTGTATCCACTGATGGGCACAGGTTGCAAAGGGATTGCTGGGTTAGATGATAGCTCTATTTGCAGTTTTATGAGGCGCCTTCATACTGTTCATAGTGGTTGTTCTGCTGCACATTCCCACCAACAGTGGGTGAGCATTCCCATTTCTCCACATCCTCACCAGCATTTGTTATTTTTTCCTTTTTTAAAATGGCCATTTTAACTGGGATGAGATGTTATCTCAATGTGGTTTTGATTTACATTTCCCTAATTATGGTTGAGCATTTGTTTATGTATCTATTGGCTATTCATCTGTCTTTTGAGAAATGTCTATATAGTTTACAGATCTTTTGCCTTTTTTTTTTTTTTTTTTTTTTTTTTTTTTTGAGATGGGGTTTTACTCTGTCACCCAGGCTGGAGGCGATCTGGGCTCACCGCAGCTTCCACATCCCTGGCTCAAGCAATCATCCCGCTGCAGGATGACCCAAGTAGCTAGGACCACAGGCAAGTGCCACCACGCTCAGCTAATTTTTTTTTATAGTTTTTGTAGTGACGGGGTTTTGCCATGTTGCCCAGGCTGATCATGAACTCCTGCACTCAAGTGATCTGCTCACCTCGGCCTCCCAAAGTCCTGGGACTACAGGTGTGCCTGGCCTTTTGGTTCATTTTAAAATCAGGTTGTTTTTTGGTTTTTGCTATTAAATTGTTTGAGTTCCTTATATATTCTGGTTATGAATCCCTTGTTAGATGGTGTGTTAGATTATTGTGTTGCTATAAAGAAAATCTTGAATCTGGGTAATTTAATTGGCTCATGATTCTGCAGGCAATTAAGTGTACAGGAAGCATGGCACCAGCATCTGCTCAGCTTCTGGGGAGGCCTCAAGAAACTTTCACTCATGGCAGAAAGCAAAGCAGAAGCAGGCACATCACGTGGCGAGAGACAGAGAGAGAGAGACAGAGAGAGAGAGAGAGAGAGGTGGAGGAGGTGCCATACCCTCTTTTAGACAAGCAGCTCTCTCCGGAGCTCACTATTGTGAGGACAGCGGAGTGGGATGGCGCTAAACCATTCATGAGAAATCTGCCATCCTGATCCAATCCCCTCCCACCAGGCCCCACCTCCAACACGGGGAATCACATTTCAACACGAGATTTGGGGGGACAAACATCCAAACTCTGTCATATGGATAGTTTGCAAACACTTTCTCCCATTCTGTAGGTTGTCTCTTCACTGTTAATTGCTTCCTTTGCTCTGCAGAAGCTTTTCAGCTTGACACAATCCCATTTGTCTGTCTATGCTTTGTTGCCTGTGCTTTTGAGATCTTACCCAAAAATATCTTTCCTCAGACCAATGTCTTCTCTCATTTCTCCAATGTTTTAATAGTTTATAGTTTCAGGTCTTACATTTAATCTTTAATCAATTTCGAGTTGATTTTTATATGTGGTGAAAGATGGGGCTCTAGTTTCATTCTTCTGCATATGGATATTCAGTTTTCCCAGCACAGCTTGTTGAAGAGACCAGCAGCTGTATGGGATCTTTTGGGGCTCCGTATACATTTTAGAATTTTTTTTTCTATTTCTGTGAAGAACGTCATTGGTATTTTAATAGGGATTGCACTGAATCTGTAGATTCCTTTGGGTAGTAAAGACATTTTAACAATGTTGATTCTTCCAATCCGTGAGTATGGGATAGCTACCTTTCCATTTTTTGGTGTCCTCTTCAGTTTCTTTCATGAGTGTTGTATAGTGTTCCTTGTAGAGATCTTTCACATCTTTGGATAAATTCATTCCTAGGTTTCTGTTGTTGTTTGTTTGTTTTGTAGTTATTGTAAATGGGATTGCAGCAAACGCTTTCTGAGTGCCCACTGTATGCACTTAATACAGCCAAGATCCTTTTGGGTTGCTGAATTTTCTTATTTCCCCAGAAGAGGGATGCCATGCCCAGCAACTCCCAGATATTCTTTTGAGAATTCCCTATGCAATCTACCACCTCATAATTCTGCCAGAGGATTTGGGAGAAGGGCATATTGTCTCTAAAGCCTCTGCTTATGCAAACCAGCTTTGCAGAAGAGGGATAAGGAGAATTGAAGCAGATAGGACTTATCTATGGTGATAGTGAATGATGCCAGATCTATACACATTGATATATTCATGCTGAAAAAATAGCCTACAGATTGTTTTTTTGACAGTTGTAGGTTTTACTTTATGTTCTCTTTTCTACTATTATAAATGTAAGAAAAGCTTAGGATAAAAAACATGGAAAGCTTACAATAAATACTGATAATCATAACACTCATAAGGATATTTCAGAAATTTCCTCCAGGCTTTATTTGACACAGCTGGGATCATGTATAAAAAATGGGATCAGCTTTTTTGGGGAGGAGAGCATGGCTCACACCTGCAATCCCAGAACTTTGGGAGGATGAGGCAGGCAGATTGCTTGAGGTCAGGAGTTCAAGGCCAGCCTGGCCAACATGGTGAAACCCTGTCTCTACTAAAAATACAAAAAAATTAGCTGAGTCTAGTAGTGTGAGCCTGTAATTCCAGCGTCTCAGGAAGCTGAGGCAAAAGAATTGCTTGAACCTGGGAGGTGGAAGTTGCAGATCACAACAGTGAACTCCAGCCTGGGTGACAGAGCAAGACTGTCTCAAAAAAAAAAAAAGTAAAATGAAATAGGATTGACTTTTTTTTTAAGTTGTAAAGTGTCTCTTTACAACTTTTAAAAAGTGTTAATTAAAGCTAATATACGTGTTTATGTTGATTCTTATGCTAACCATTTTTTTTTTTTTTTTTTTTTTTTTTTTTTTTTTTTGAGATGGAGTCTTGCTCTGTGGCCAGGCTGGAGTGCAGTGGTGCAATCTCTGCTCACTGCAACCTCCGCCTCCTGGGTTCAAGAGATTCCCCTGCCTCAGCCTCCCGAGTAGCTGGGACTACAGGTGGGCGCCACCATTCCTGGCTAATTTTTTGTATTTTAGTAGAGACAGAGTTTTACCAAATTGGCGAAGATGGTCTCGATCTCCTGACCTCATGATCCACCTGCCTCGGACTTCCAAAGTGCCATTACAGGTGTGAGCCACGCCCAGCCAAACACTGTCTAATCTTACCTCCTACAACTTCTTCCATCACTCTGGCTCATAAATGTGCTAAGCACCTTGCTTTTCCCAGAATAAGCCACATCGTGACCTCTGCCACCTCATCTGCCATTTGAATGACCATATTCTCATTCTTCTAGTCTCAGCTCAGAAGCCACCTCCTTTAGGGAGGTAAAGGTGAACACATGCCATCCTAAATTCTTCCAC